TTGTTATTCTTGTGATGAAGAAATAAATGAGATATTGCAGAAGATATGCGATGTTAGCGTTAAGATAGAATTCCAAACTTTGGTATGCAGGAAGAATGCTATGGTAGGACATTCTCTATTCGAATAAATAAATAAATAAATAAAAATGCAATGAAAGTTTGGGCACTTAGCACAAATCGTTATTGGATTGTATTTAAGAACTTTTATGACATCACAAGCTAAACTTTCAAATTTACTTTGTTTTATGATTTTAAAAGGCTGAAAAGTAATTAGTAATATATGATTATTTTTATTTACTCATTAGCTTAACATGCGATGGGCTGATTGTTTAGAGGTGATAAGATTTTTAGTGTTATGGCTTTGCTTTCACCAGTTTGTGGGGACGCATCAGAATTCCTCATTAAGAAAAAAATCTTAGAGATGGTCAAACCGAAAAGTCATAGCAATGACAGCAATTGCCAAATATAGATTTGTTTGTCTCTTAGCATTTTTTTAGCAGTAGTAAGTTTTTTTTTTAATAACGCACTGTTATGTAAGATGAAGTACCTTTTTTTTTCTTCTGCGGTACCGAAAGGAATATGAAGACATCACATGGCAGAACATTCACCTGAAATACTTCCCAAACAAAAGTGCTTAAAAAGTAAAAACTAAAAAAAAGTTACTTTAAAATTTAAAAAAGCAATCTTATTCAATTTGTTCTGAAATGTTCCTACTTCTCATTTGCAAATTTTAGTCATTCACATTTTATTCACTGTTCTACCTACACTTTTTCGATGGAAAAAAAAAAAAAAAAAAAAAAAAAAAATCAGAGAGAGAATGAGAGATAAAGATAGAAAACTTTTTAAAGTATCAGGTATTTTTACACGTATAACAAAAAACAGTGTAACCACAAAAAAAAAAAAAAAAAAAAAAAAACTGATTCAGGTTTCGTAAATTATGATCACAAAGTAAAATGAAAATATAAATTATGGGTTTAAGAAAAAAAATTAAAGAGTGAAGGAAGATTCGACAGAAAATTTGGAGAATGTTGTTGTTGCAATCGACATCATCCAACCAAGCTGAATAGCTGTCATGAAAATTATATATAAAAAAAAAAAAAAAAATAAAAATAATGTATTTATTATTGGGTAAATTGAAATACAACTAAAAAAATAAATACACCCTCCTAAAATTCTTGTGAAATTCCCTAAAGGGGGTTTCTAATTTACTTTACTTTTATTGAAATGAGAAATCGCAAAGCAGAGTTCGAATTCCAGTTTAGGTTCATTATTACAATCACGCCCAAACACGGCACTTCTCAGGTCATTAGTGTCATTTTATTTAAACTAAAACTTATGAAAACCTATAACTTTTGTAAGTTTTCTGTTGTTGAGTTTGTAGTCAAGAGTATCACCAGTTCGCAAACAAACGAGAACAGTTCACTAGTAAGAAAGGAAGGGGTAGTATAGTGACTAGTCAGTGTAACTAACACCAATCTACGGTACCTGCTTCGCTATCAATCCATTTGTACCCAACACAAACAAATGACCGATTTAATTTTTACTAAATAGTTTAATAAAAATAAGACCCATGACTGAAAAAAAAAAAAAAAGTAATTTCAAATAGATCGATAATCGATTTTATGAACCAAACAAGGTCAAGACAACTACAAAAAACTTTATGAGGAGCTGATTATTAACTAAAAGCGTAGTTTGCATGCTCCAAAGTTACATAATAAAATATTTTCGAAGGTTATTTGAGTACTCTTTTAAGTTTTAATTAACACCTAAAAAAAGTTAGTTCCACCGTCAATAAAATAAATGAATAGAAAAAAATAGAGAGGATACATGCTTGTTTTTCTATCTCAAATCAAATAGTACAATACAATCATTTTTTTCTTAAAGCTTTAAGCTTATGAATAGATTAGAAATGAAGAGAATTGTGAAACACGTGGTTTCTAAGCTTCGCACACACAATTTTGAAAGATTTTTTAATAAAAATTTAAAAAAAATATTTTACAAAGTTTTTAATCAACGAACCAGAAATATTCAATAAAATAGTCAAGTTCATCATTCCAAAAAACAATAATCCGGACAGCCTAACGGAATGAAGGTGACGTTAGTACATCATACTACAATAAAATCGAATCAATAAACGAACCTCAGGCATGAAAACTGAAAAGTAATTTTAAACAGGTCTGTTACTACAAGCAAAAAACTAAGGACTCAAATTAAAAAAAAAAAAAAAAAAAAAAAAAAATAGTAAATTAAAAACAATTTTTAATTAATAACTTAACTTCTTACCCCTACTGAGTAGCGTAGAAAATTTCTTTTAAATTCTCACAGATGAAAATGTAATTTTTTTAAAATTACATCTTTTAACTTAAAGTCTTCATAATTGCTATATTTCTGGAAAAGTGAAATAAAACTACTAAAACTAAAAGCAGAATTTTGAGCAACATTGTCCCCTAGAAATAAAAGCTTCACTAAATATTTTTCCTTGCTCAGGTTTTTTTTTTAAATTTGTCAAGACAAAAAAAAAAAAAAAAAAAAAAAAATTAAACGCCTTAAAGCAGATTCTAGTATTACTATTCTTAAATTCGATTTGTGCAATTTATAAATTAAAACTATAAATATTTGCTCTTCTACGTCATTTAGATAATATTTTTTTTTAAAAGTCTATGCTTAGAAAATTGTAGTCAATTTTCTACCCTTGAAATTTTAGTACAATGAGATAATAAAAAGCAGAAAAGATACAATGTAGTGTAGCAGTTTCGACTTGGAAACTATTGAAAATTGGTACCTACTTATTTCCCTTTATTTGTATACGTTACCAAGTTATGACTGGAAATTCGAATCGATGTTACTCATGTTTAAAGTTTGGTGTATAAAGAACTTTAAAAAAATATAATTTTACAGCCACTTCATAGTATGCAGAATTTTAAGTATTCAAATGAAACTTTAAATAAGTGATTTGAATCTAAACAATTTTTATAAGTTACATAAGATCAGGAAGATTATGTAATTTATTTTGAAGTAGAAACGTTTTTTCACAAGTTATCGTTCAATTACTGTCTTCAAAAATGTACAATTCAAAAGATTAAACTAAATCATATATTAAAAAAAAAAAGAAAAAAAAAAAAGAAATTTTATGCAATGATAATGTTACATAAATAATGTCATAAAAATAAAAATTCAAGAAATCAGTTATTTAAGCTTAATTTTGTATTGTCACCTTGATTGACCCGATGTGAGCGTGGATATCAGCTTGTTGACCTCCAAAAAGCAATTCTTCAAAGGGTTCAACTTTGCAGTAATAGATTGACATTGATTTTTTTATTTTGTATTGGAATAGGATTTACTGGCTTTATTGACGCAGATTGTTTTTAATTTTTGTTTATTAATTAATTCAATGACACGAAAACAATAATTAGGACCTATTTGCTTTCCAGTCCAGAAAAAAATTAAAACCCCGGAGAACTGCCTATTTAAGGAGTGTCCAAACATGAGACTGTGATAGGTTATTCTTTTTTTGACCTTGTCTTGCGACCTTGACACGCCTCTCCATATGTTCCCTACTTGTAAATTAAATTATATATTAAAAAAAAAAAAAAAAAAAAAAAACAACAACAAAAAGTTAAATCTGTATAGGATAGGAAGGAAATGCAATAATTTAATTTAGAAGTAATACTATATACATCGTACATAGGTATGTAATTAAATAACTAGTCTAAAACGCTACAAATAGAATAATAGATTAAAGAAGTTAAAAGCTTGAGAAAAAAAAATTTCAAAAAAAAGGAAAAAAAACTTATCAATCAAAATTAGAATGCAGTTATATTGGGTAAGTCTTAAAGACACGAAAGGAAATAGGAACAAAATAATCAGCTTAAAAATAAATCAAATTGGACATTTTGAAGTAAAATTTAAAATAAATGAAGCACCTTAAATGCAGGGCGATAAATTTGAAACGTAAAGAAAATCTACCCTCCCCCGGTTATACGTGTCCGATGTTCCAGAAAATAACCCGAACCTTGATTTTTAACTTGTTTGTTTGTTTGTTTTTATTATTTATTTTACACAACCCAGGTAGTTAGATTAAGGTTTGTAACATTATTCGTATTTCTGGTAGACGTACAGGCACTTTTGAAAAGAAAAGGGAGGTTTATTGACATAGCAAACAGTAGGAAAAAGGAAAAATTGACAGTTAATAAAAAAAAATTGCTATCATCAACTCACCATTTTTAAGCTACAACTTCACATAATCAAGTACAAAAATAAAGATCAAGAAATACATTAAACAATTTTTTTGAAATATCAAAGAAAAGAAGAAAAAAAAAAGGAGAGAGGGAGAAAATGCTCTTTTAAATAGGTGGGTCTCCTACTGGAAATGTTAATGAGTAAAAATGACTAACACCACTAGTATAGAATTTAAAATTGTTGTAATAAAAAAAAATCATTATTATCCTCGAAACACAGTGTACAACGAACGTATATAGATAATTTAGTAAATTAAGTCCCGTTAAGACAAGTAATTATAGTTCAGATTTGTTTCGATGGGAACAAAACCTCTTGAATCTTGATACAAGAGGTTTTTTGTTCCTTGAAAATAAAAAAGGTCTAAGAAAAAACCATTCTTATTTTTTGCTTTCAACTCAAACTCAGAAGAAATTAATGCTTTATTATTTAAAATAAATCTAAAAGAATTTGAATGCATTTTTTACAACAAAGTCAATTTTTAAAAAAATAAATAAAAAAAGTTGGAATTGTTAACTTATCTAAAACACTTTCTCCCCAACTTGTATCGTGTTTAAGCCAAGGTAATAAATACAAAAAAGAAAAAAGCAAACTAAAACCATTAGTGATTATATAATTGTGCAGCCGGCTCTTAATAACACCGGTTTTCAGTTCTTTGGAAAGAAAGAAGAGAGAACACGAGGAAGGATGATCCACGAAGCAATTATCCCCAGTAAGAAAAAAAAAAAAGAAAAAGAAAAGCGATGGGATAAAATATTCACCTACCGTCTTTTTGTGGTAAATCAACGTTCAGGTTGTTTTCTTTGTCATGGACAGTCTTCTGTTCTTGCTGTTTTAGCGACTCTTTCTCAATGTTATCGTCACCTTTTATAGCAGAGATTCCAGCCATGCGTTTTAGCTGCTCACAATTTGCACCAAACAAGCACGTGTGAGGTTAAAGACTTGGATTAAGTTAAAAATACTCTCCAACCCAATACTCTTGATGATTATTTAATAATATCTTGAGAAGAATTCTTATTGGATTTCACAATGTTTTATTTGTGAAACAAAGATATACAGTTAAATTACAATAGCTCTTATTTATTCATTTATTTTTAGTTTAATGATGCATTAAATAGTCAATTATTCTCTGTTTTGAGACTACATCATGACCTAATGAAGGTCATTTTCAGGACATGATCGGGTTATTTACATAATATCAGGGGAAATGTGAACCGTCATCAGCCGCTTCATTTTTATTTATTTTTATTTTTTATATTTTTTTCAGATAAAAATGTTGACTAATCTAAAAAAATATAAAGCAATTGGTAATGACTAGAATTTAAACTTTCTTTTATATGTCGTGTCCCTTCAGGACGTGGGCGATCATGACTCTCCATAACTTCCTATTTTTTTGTAATTCTTAGTAGTATAAATTAAACTACATTCGATTAAATAAAAAATAAAAAATTTTAATTAGTTTTAAAAATTTAAACTACATCCCATTTTAAACTAGTTAACATTTTATCTTCTGTAATAATTCTGTACCCTTTTTTTTACAAAGTTTTCCATCTGAATTTGACTGCTAAAAATTAATGACAGCTATTACTTTCTCTGTCTGTCTGTCTGTCTGTCTGTCTGTCTGTCTCTCTCTCTCTCTCTCTCTCTCTCTCTCTCATATGAAATAAAAGGAGAAACAGTTCCACTTTGGAGAAATAAGTTTCTAACAACTAAGGAAAATAATTGCTGACAATATGAATATATATGTAAGTAATAAAGCGTCTATATTTACACAAATATCTCTCATTCAAATTATTTACAATACCTATAATTATGCAACACATATTTTCACTTTTAGTAACAATTGGAACTTATAATTAGAATAATATATTAATTAACAGTAGTCTGTTGTTCTGTTTAGTATAAAAATGTTAGTAATAACATCTGAAGGGCAGATCCAGTAGAATACAAGAACACTAAGGAAAAAAACAGTCAAATACAAGATGTTGAGAGTAAAAAAAAGATGACAGGTTTACTAGATGGCAAGGCCAATAGGATACAAGAATACTAAAGGAGAAGGCCAGTAAAATACAAGAATACTAGATGGCAAGTGTAGTAGAATATAAGAACACTGGAAGACAAAGCCTGAAGAAAAGACACTAGAAGACAAGGCCAATAGAATACTAGGACAGAAGGCCAGTAAAGTACAAGAACACTGGAGGGCAAGTGTAGTAGAATATAAGAATACTGGAGATCAAAGACAGTGAAATATAAGAACACTGGAGGACAAATCTGAAGGAAAGACACCAGAGCAAAAGGTCAGTAAAAATCAAGAAAACTGGTAAACAAAGCTAATAGAAAACAAAAATAATACAGACTGATGAAAATAAGAATATTGAAGGCCATGGTTAAGAAAGGAATAAAACTGGAGGGTAAAACAAACAAAAGAGGAGAAAATAGAAAAAATACAGCATAAAACAAGAAAATTAGAGGGAAATGACAGAAGACAATATCATTTGTATACAAATCCTGTGAAAGATGAAAATACTGAAGGAAAAAGATAGAATAAGACAAGAGCATCTGAGGATGTTATACTCCACTGCAAATTAGATCTCTTTCTGATTTACTCTACATGTCAACTGGATGTGAGCACTAAGGAAACAAATCCCAAAATATAACAGTTGTCTTCTGTGCAGGGGCTCAGAGCATCACATCCAGCCTACAAAAAAAACCCACAAAAATCTAAAATAAACATAAAAAAAAGCCAATCACAAACAAAAAAAGATGAGCAGCATCCACTAGATTTGCTTTTAAGAAAGCCATTCATAATTGACTAACACACAATATGGCCAACAGGCCAGCTGTCATTCCATGCAGTAGGCACTCAACATCACCACCCAACACACATATCCACTCAAGGCCCACTCTTCTCCAAACAACCACATCATGCTTACATACATACATACATACACTCACATCTTCTGTATCAGCAAAATCAGATTTGTGGTTTCACTAATCAACTCCAGGCCACTGTGATTTCAGTCAACCAACCCACCAAACACATCAACTCCAGGGCCTTACTAACTTTACCCACATTAAAAACCACCACACCTTGCCCACACAGAAACATTCTGCAAACATCCGTTGTATTATTAATTAGAAAAGAATTTTATATTTAAAATTATTGTCCTCTTTTTGTTTCACTCATGTTACTATTGCTTCATTTGTTTCCCCATGCTACCATATTCATGTTTATAACAAGGACAAAGTCAATAAAAGATAAGAACAATGGCAGGCAAGATCAATGTAAGATCAGATTATTAGAGAAAAGCCAGAATAAGACACGAGCACATGTGGACAAAGCCAACAGAAGACAAGAAATTGAAGAAAAATACCAGTAGAAAACAAGAAAATTAGCAAAAAAGGATAACAAACAATGGAGAGCAAAGCCTGTGAAATACAAGAATACTGAAGAAAAACCAGAATAAGACATGATTAATGCAGGACAAGGCCAGTAAAAGCCAAGAAAATTTGAAGACAATGTTAGTAGAAGACAAGAACAATGGAAGGAAAAATAAGGATAAAACTACTATTTTAATGTAAATATGAATTTTCCTTCTTTTTCTTCTTATTATCATTTAATTTATCTGATTCTATTTTAATGATCCTGATTCATTAATCAACTAGTTTTCTCATCTGTATTATTCATATATTCCTTAGAAATTCTACAATATTAGTTGTAGATATCTTTGACAGGTTTAGTGAATAAATAACTGAATATGAATGAACAAATGAATAAAGTTTGTATGTAATATATATATATATATATATATATATATATACACAAAGAATAATCACACATAGAATTAATCAGAAGTATCAATGCGATTATTGACGACATCCATCGTTAGAAAACATAATATATGCATTAAAATCCTGTTCATCCATAGTGCGAGTTTTGATCCTTGAAGAAAAACTTGTTGTCTGTAGTTTTTCAGTTTATTTGATGTTAAAATGCTAGTACTTACGGACAGTCTTCCATCCATCATCAGGCATGTGTTTTTTTTCCTATAAAATCAAAAACTTGAGATGATATACCTGTATGTCGACCGAAAGATGTTTTTTGAATATCTGCTATTATTGACGGTTGTAAGGTATCAGAACGTGCAAAGACGCAACGCTAAGTTTTTCAAAATTTTTAAGTGAGAATTTTATTTAAATATTTCTTGTGATGTGTTAAATCCACGTATTCTATTTTTACAAATGTATTCAGTTTTTATGTCATGAACTAAGTATATAGTTCAATAATATAGTGTAATGTCATAGTAGTAATTTTTTTATAGGAATTTTTTTATGTACTGCGGATCGATAGTTTTTAATAAACATAAAACATTAGGCAGCATATGATTTACATACAAAGAATAATCACACATAGAATTAATCAGAAGTATCAATGCGATTATTGATGACATCCATCGTTAGAAAACATAATATATGCATCAAAATCTATATATATATAGGAGAGTCCACTATATAAATATAGTGGACTCTCCTATTGTGAACGCTAAATATGAGGGTCAGCATTGGATGGTCCCTTTTGTTTTACACTTATGCATGCTAGCAGGGGCTACTGTGAAGCAAATCAAGTAAAGGAAAGACATATTTCATTTGTGCTTTCTTAAGTGTGATACTAGCCCAGACTTGTTGTGGGTGACAAAGCCACACTGACAGGTGAAATTTGCTAAAGCAGGATTTTTATGGTGTCACTTCAGAGCTTGACATATATATATATATATATATATATATATATATATATATATATATATATATAATTTTATGCAAACAAATAAATAAGTTATCAATAATTTTGTATTTTCTTAATATACTCTGATAAATAATATCACTACTTTCTTTAAATTGATTAATAGGTAAAATAGTATTTACTTTTCCAATTTTCAGGGATGTTTCACTTAATCTTATTATTTTAAATTATAATTCTGACCACTCTGTAGTAGCTACTGATATTTTGTTCCAATCCTCTATTAAACAGAAATCCCCTCTCACAAGATCTCTTTCCGTTACCAACATGCTGATTGGGACTCACTCCATGATTTTCTCTGTGGCACCCCTTGGATTGACATCTTTAAACTCCCAATTAAAACTTGCACCACATGCTTGGCTGCTATAGCACATAGGAACCACTATTTTCATCTATACCAGCATGACGGCTCTCATCACAACAGGTACCTATTCACAATAAATGTAAGTGCATCCTCGAAGGAGCAAAGTCCCTGCTTGCCAAGAGAATGAGGTGCTATATAGCATCTAACACTTTTGGCTCTTGCAATCACTGACAGATCTGTAATAGGGCATTATATAGGTGTAAGGTCTTTATTCCTCCTCTCTTCAATCAATATGAGGTGTTATCATCCTCTGCTGATAACACTGAATGCTTTGCCTGTAAATTCTCCTCAAACTCTATTCCTGACTCATCCGGAATATCCCAGCCTAACCTCCCTCCTAGAACTGATTCTCTGTTGAGTGATATGCATATAACACCTTCCATAGTTTCTACTATCATCTCTAACCTAGATCCCTACAAAGCATGTGGACCTGATGATATCCCTGTAATAGTCATTAAGAAGTGTGCTCCTGAACTGTTTCATGTTCTCTCTAAACTGTATAACAAATGCTTCGCAGTCCCCCACTTTCCTGCCTGCTGGAAGTCACCAGCTGTTGTTCCAGGTTTTAAGAACTCTAGCAAGCCATCCAACCCTTCCAACTATTGGTATATTAGCCTTCTACCTCTTTTTGAGAAGCTCCTAGAGGCCCTAATCAATGCTGAATCGGTTCATCATCTCTCATCACAGGGCCTTTTCTCAGACAGACAATATGTCTTTCATTCCCCAA